TGTGGTTGGGGGTGTGGTTGGGGGTGTGGTTGGGGGTGTGGTTGGGGGTGTGGTTGGGGATGTGGTTGGGGGTATGGTTTTCTCTCATTGTTGAGTCGCCTCCCATTTCTTTCTCTCGTTCCACGTTTGCTTCCTGCTAAGATCTTTTTTTAAATAAATGTTTTGTTCTATTTATTATTATGTTGTCTTGAGACCAATCTCATTTCTGAGTGTCTCGTGGATCGGGGCACCGTTTTTTAAAAAAAAAATATAAATGAAAGGACTGCTTTCAAGCTTAGTAAATGAATAAAATAGCTGAGGAAGGCTTTATGCCGAAACGTCCTTGTTTTTTGTCCTGTTATCTTATTGAAGCTTCACACATACCTCGTTTTGCTATTTTATTCATTTTTTGTTTAACCTTTTGGCTCAAACGACACATAATAATAAATTACTAAAAAGTTTCGTCCAGGCAGTTAAAATTTGGATCGCATGAGGTTACATTGTATTTGTGTCTTTCAAACTGTCTTTAAAGCTGTGTCTTTCATATCATTCCGTGTCTTTCATGCTGTGTCTTTCATGCTGTGTCTTTCATGCTGTGTCTTTCATGCTGTGTCTTTCATGCTGTGTCTTTCATGCTGTGTCTTTCATGCTGTGTCTTTCATGCTGTGTCTTTCATGCTGTATCTTTCATGCTGTATCTTTCATGATGTGTCTTTCATGCTGTGTCTTTCATGCTGGACTTCCATGCTGTGTCTTCCATGCTGTGTCTTTCATGCTGTGTCTTTCATGATGTGTCTTTCATGCTGTGTCTTTCATGCTGTGTCTTTCATGCTGTATCTTTTAAACTGTGTCTTTCAAATTAAATTGTAAATATCGACAAATATAATTCATTGTTTACTTATTATTCTTTAAAATTTTGTCTTTCAAATTTAATTGACAATTCCCACAAATATTTTTCTTATATAATTATTATTCTGTCAAATTGTTTCTATCAAAATTTAAAAAATTTAACAGACATTTACGTCATGTCAAATTTTTGTTATTAATATGATTATTTTATTATAATTTAAAAAAAAAAGTAGTCTAAGGGAAGCAAGTCAGTAAATTCATTTGGTCATCTGTTAAAATTGTTAGTTCCCTTTGGCGCTTGCTTCATAACTTGTTTCTCCTTTCGTAACTCTTAGGTCCATAGTCAAAACTTGTATCTCACCTGTCAAAACTTGTGTCTCACCTGTCAAAACTTGTGTCTCACCTGTCAAAACTTGTGTCTCACCTATCATAACTTGTGTGTCACCTGTCTAAACTTGTGTCTCACCTGTCAAAACTCGTGCCTCACCTGTCACAACTTGTGTCTCAACTGTCATAACTTGAATCCCCCTTGTCACAGCTTGTGTATCCCTTGCCATTTCGTCTATATAACCTGTCACAGTCTGTCTCTGGTATTATTTCTTGTGACCCCCCTAACTTGTGTCTCCCCTGTCATACCTTGTACCTGTCCTGTCATATATTATGTCTCCCCTGTCATACCTTGTACCTGTCCTGTCATATATTATGTCTCCCCTGTCATACCTTGTATCTGTCCTGCCATATATTGTGTCTCTCATGCCACATCTTGTAAATATCTTGTCATAACTTGTGTCTCCCTTGTCATACAATGCGCCTCCCTTGTCAAACATTGTGTCTCCCTTGTCACACATTGTGTCTCCCTTATCATACAAAGTGTCTCCCTTGACATACATTGTGTCTTCTTGTCATACATTTTGTCTCCCTTGTCATACATTGTGTCTCCATTTTCATATATTGTGTCTCCCTTGTCATACACTGCGCTTCCCTTGTCATACATTGTGTCTCCCTTGTCATACATTGTGTCTCCCTTGTCATACATTGTGTCTCCCTTATCAGACATTGTGTCTCCCTTGTCATACATTGTGTCTCCCTTGTCATACATTGTGTCTCCCTTGTCATACATTGTGTCTCCCTTGTCATACACCGCGCCTCCCTTGTCATTGTATGATGTATGAATAATCGTCAGTACTTTAATAATAAGTTCGCCATCCCTCACCCAGAAGTAAGAGTAGCACTTGCAGTAAGAGTAGCACTTGCAGTAAGAGTAGCACTTGCAGTAAGAGTCGTTAAACTGCAGTTAGTTCAGAGTTAATCGGGTAGAGAATGAAGCCCATTGGTCCATGCAGCTGGGAGCAGTGTTCACAGAAGATTATTCATATATCATACAATGACAGCAGGACGTCGAGCTATAGTGAATATCGAACTGGCGGCCGACAGACAGACAGATGACAGTCTGGCTTCCGGTGGACGACGGAAAGACTACGTCACTTTCGGTCAAAATAAAGAGAAAGTTAACTTTTCTGTTTGAGCCGAAACCGAAACTACGTCCAAAAAATTACCTTTTGGCAACTTTTGGCGCCGAAATAAAAAATCGGTTGGCCTCTTTCTTGTAAAGTCACTGTCTTTACCCGCGACTCCCCTGTCTTTAATTCAGTATCCCTTGTCATTTCATGACTCTCCCCTGCCAATTCTACTATTTCCTCTGACATTACTTTAATTTCCAACACTGTCAATACTTCAATCTCCCCTGCCAATACGTTAAACTCCCTTGTCATTACTTCAATCTCAACCCCCCACCCCCCACACGCCATTAACATTTCACATTACATTGAAAGACCCCCCCCCACACGCCATTAACATTTCACATTACATTGAAAGATCCAAGGAGATCTAACTGATACAAACATTCCAAGTAAAGAACTCAACGTTCAGATTCGTCAAATTTAAGTATAGTTACTGTTTATTCTTTGAGAAATAAAGGCATCTGTTTGTTTCCCTATGTTACTGGGCAGGCGGCCACCACTGAAGACCAGTCCAAGTCATTTTGTACTATGTGAGTAGCAAATGTACACTATGATGACATCCATGGTGACATCTAGTGGTTGGGGTTTTAACTGACACGTCGGTAGTAAGACACCACGAATAGACGCATCATCGACTAATAGTAACAGTAACACAATTGGGATTGGGAAACTCGCGCTGACAGAACGCCTGAAATGACATCTCGATGGCATGACTAGTGACATCGGGATGGTATTATGAAGATGTTCGGGTCTGTAATTTCTGTCTTCCAGCTCCCGTAGCTCACAGAGTTCTCCTTGTCTAGAATCGATCAAAACAAAAATCAGATATGACTGCATTGTCTTCTCCGATCAACAATCCGCATTTGTCAAAATCTAACATTCTAAAACTAACTACTAAATCTAACATTCTTAAACTGAATTTTTTTAAATCTAACATACTAAAACTAAAGATTCTAAATCTAACATTCCAAACGAAAATTTTAAATCTAACATTCCAAACGAAAATTTAAATCTAACATTCTAAAACTAAACATTCTAAATCTAACATTCTAAAAAAACTAGCTACAAAATCTAACATTCTAAAAACTAGCTACGAAATCTAACATTCTAAAAACTAAACACAAAATCTAACATTCTAAATCTAACATTCTAAAAACTAGCTACAAAATCTAACATTCTAAATCTAACATTCTAAATCTAACATTCTAAAAACTAGCTACAAAATCCAACATTTTAAAACTAACATACTAAATCTAACATTCTAAAAACTAGCTACAAAATCTAACATTCTAAATGCAGCATCCTAAAGAAACCGATTCTCACAATCCGACGGCAAAGTCACACACAAAAAGCAATGGTGGAACCGCGTGGAAAAACAACACCTTGATGACTCGTAACAAAAATACTGTCTTATCTATGAGACCCTAGTTATCGTCACGTGACTGAAGATTTTTAAAAAAGACCAACACCAAATCTAGGGTGGACTTTAACACAACACATTACGTCCCCTGAAAGCAGCAGCGATGACTACCAATATCTGGACGCTTCTGACACATTACGTCCCCTGAAAGCAGCAGTGATTACTACCAATATCTGGACGCTTCTGACACATTACGTCCCCTGAAAGCAGCAGCGATTACTACCAATATCTGAACGCTTCTGACATATTACGTCCCCTGAAAGCAGCAGCGATTACCACCAATATATGGACGCTTCTGACACATTACGTCCCCTGAAAGCAGCAGCGAGTACTACCAATATCTGGACGCTTCTGACACATTACGTCCCCTGAAAGCAGCAGCGATTACTACCAATATCTGGACGCTTCTGACACATTACGTCCCTTGAAAGCAGCAGCGATTACTACCAATATCTGGACGCTTCTGACACATTACGTCCCTTGAAAGCAGCAGCGATTACTACCAATAACTCAATGTTTAATAGATCACATTGCAAACACGCACCTGGCGAAAGCTTGAGTAGAAGAACACTGGGCTGTGTGTCCTGGTAGTACAGAGTTGCCCCATCCACATTGGTGACCTCCCATGCCGGGCCAGGCACCCTCTTGGCGGAATCTAAACGATGATGAATTGACGGGCAGACATTTTAGATGATGTATGATTGGCCTTGATGTTGATTTTTATGTTCACACATAGGAAAAATATCAATTTATACCTTGTTCACACATAGGAATCATATCAATTGATACCTTGTTCACACATAGGAATCATATCAATTTATACCTTGTTCACGCATAGGAATCATATCAATTTATAGCTTTTTCACACATAGGAAAAATATCAATTTATACCTTGTTCACACATAGGAATCATATCAATTTATACCTAGTTCACACATAGGAAACAAATCAATTTATACCTAGTTCACACATAGGAAACATATCAATTTATACCTAGTTCACAGATAGGAAAAATATCAATTTATACCTAGTTCATACATAGGAAACATATCAATTTATACCTAGTTCACACATATGGAAATATCAATTTATACCTAGTTCACACATAGGAAACAAATCAATTTATGCGTAGTACACACAGAGGTAGCCAGTTAATTCTCACGGGCACACAAAAGAGGTTGGCCCATGCGAAACCTACCTGGTACACATTGCGGTAGATCAGGTGTGTTGCTAATGTCCGACACGGTGCAGTTGCCTGGTGTAATGTCATAACGCTTCGCCTGATTGCCGGACTGTTCAAAAGAGACATGGCAAATTTTAATTAATTTTTTTTTAGCGTCCCCATGACTGTACATAACAGCGACAACAACAACAACCAAAACAACAACAACAACAACAACAACAAAATATATCTTGTCCGGGAGCTAAACCTAAAAAATGGCGCCACTATTTCTTCATTAATGGCAAACGATGCACACACTCATTATATTTTTAAAAATTCCAATTGAGTGTATTGATGATTTTGACGCCTCCAGATTGCCCCCCCCCTCCCCCGCCACCCCTTCTTTTTTCGCCAGAACATTGTTGTTCCACCCTGTCTAACTTTAAGTGACCTTGGTGACCTTAGTGACCTGAGTGTATTTTCATAATTCAGGATTTTTCCATTGTCGTTCGCGCGTCTGTCTTTAAATGTTCAAAAAAAGAGACCCAACAAATTAAGAAAATAAAAACATATAATAAAATATCTTAATGCAATCATATAATCAATCATAAAATCAAATAATGTAGTCAAATCAAAGATTAATTAGACACAAACAAATTTGTGTAAATAAAAACGAAAAAATATATGTGTTAAGCTTTAACTCTAATAATGATTATACAAAATTAGACGTTTCGGCAAATGCCTTCATTAGTAAAACAAAAAAAAAAAAAGCAAAAAAAAAACAGCACCCCCCCCCCCCCCCCCGACCAAAAATTAAAAAAAAAAAAAAAAAAATTCATAGAAGTATATCTTCATATATAATTTTGGTACTAAAATGTATTAAATTGATAAAAGTATTATTTTGAAATTTCCGAACGTCAGTCCCGTTTTCCATGAAATTTCCGTAAAGCTTATGACATTCCCATAAATGGTGTCGTAGTTTACTTCAAATTCCGCTTTTTGCGATTAAAAAAAACCCAACAAAACACCAACGATAGCAACAATCTAAGTACTCAACGACATCGAAAAGGAAATGTTGATTTTAAAATTACCGTTAAATGTTTATTGCCCATGCCTCCCCCCACCCCACCCTATCTACATTACATACATTCACGTGCATCAACATATGAAGTTGATGTACTGCTTTAAGTTGAATCCGTGTTTCATTCTTATCATCTCCACTGGTCATTGTGAGATCTGATGTCGTCTCCACTGGTCATTGTGAGATCTGATGTCATCTTCTCTGGTCATTGTGAGATCTGATGTCATCTCCACTGGTCATTGTGAGATCTGATGTCGTCTCCACTGGTCATTGTGAGATCTGATGTCGTCTCCACTGGTCATTGTGAGATCTGATGTCGTCTCCACTGGTCATTGTGAGATCTGATGTCATCTTCTCTGGTCATTGTGAGATCTGATGTCATCTCCACTGGTCATTGTGAGATCTGATGTCGTCTCCACTGGTCATTGTGAGATCTGATGTCATCTACACTGGTCATTGTGGGATCTGATGTCATCTCCACTGGTCATTGTGAGATCTGATGTCGTCTCCACTGGTCATTGTGAGATCTGATGTCATCTACACTGGTCATTGTGAGATCTGATGTCGTCTCCACTGGTCATTGTGAGATCTGATGTCGTCTCCACTGGTCATTGTGAGATCTGATGTCATCTCCACTGGTCATTGTGAGATCTGATGTCATCTCCACTGTTCATTGTGAGATCTGATGTCATCTCCACTGGTCATTGTGAGATCTGATGTCATCTACACTGGTCATTGTGAGATCTGATGTCATCTCCACTGGTCATTGTGAGATCTGATGTCATCTCCACTGGTCATTGTGAGATCTGATGTCATCTACAGTGGTCATTGTGAGATCTGATGTCATCTACACTGGTCATTGTGAGATCTGATGTCATCTACACTGGTCATTGTGGGATCTGATGTCATCTACACTGGTCATTGTGGGATCTGATGTCATCTACACTGGTCATTGTGGGTTGTAAATGACGAGCTTACCGATTTCTGTACTGTTTAACGCAGAAGTTCTCATCCTGTGGGTCGCGACCCCTTTGGGGGGGTCGAGTGGCCCTTTCTCAAGGGTCGCCTAAGACCATCGGAAGACACATTTACTTCACAGTTGTGACGGTCAAAGAAAATAATTATGTTGTTGGGGGTCACCGCAACATGAGGAAGTGTATTAAAGGGTCGCAGCATTAGGAAGGTTCAGAGCCACTGGTTTAAGGGCAACTTTTAAAAAAAATACTTATTTTGACTTGGTCGTTGACCCCTTAATAATCATCGTTGGATCTCAACTATACTTGAGTTTAAATACAGAATTGTCTGCTTGGATCCAATGAGTCTCACTAATATCGACATTAGTGAGGTCGTTTAGTGATAAGTTCACCATATTTAATATGTTATCATGTCATAAATAAATTATGCAGTTACATCCCCCTCAGTGTACGTTAAAAAAATAAATAATTGTAAAAAAAATTTTTAGACAAGGGAGATAAACATTCAGAAAAAAATAAAAGGAGGGCACTTGTTACATATTCATAACTTGCATCACTTACGAAGTCCTTGACCATTTTAGAAATCCCAGGTCGTTTCAGGCCATAGAGTTTCTTGGTGAAGTCCACGGCGTTGTATGATGTTCTCTGGGGATAGCGATGTAATACTAGGGAATAGCCGTGGTGTACCTTGACTACATCCCGCCCGGGGCTAACACTCCAAAAGTGCACCCCCAACACACACACACACACACACCTCACGCCATTTATAAACTTATATATATATATATATATATATATATATATATATATATATATATAAATATAAAACCCAGAAAGAGCTAAG